GTTCCCATATTGCATGTTTGCCTAGGAGAGGTGAGGTGCTAGCAAGTGCTGTGGGGGGAGTGGGGAGGAAGTTACAACACCTCAGTGGTTACAAAAGAGCTGAGAAACAAAAATGTTCAAATTGTCTTCCTCAAGAACTGTAAGGCTACATCTTGTATTTACTTTTCCCTGAATCATCATTTATACAAGTAGTTTTATTAAATATGTGGAGCAAGCTATTAGTTTTTATAATTGAAAATCATAACAGTTAAACTCAGTAGTTTATATTTGCAAGATATACCAAGTTCTTTATTTACATGGTTTATGGCTACTCAAATTCACCTTTTAAATTTGCAGCAGTACTTTTATTTAATCCGTAGATAAGGTGTGCTACAGCTTACTTGAATAGTGGTGTGTGCTGAACTTGAAGAACTTAATGAAATTATGGAAAAAAATTATCAAGGAAAGATACTGTAGTACAGTTGAAAACTACCATGCCTGACTCAAGGGAAGAATTTCTCAGCACAATTTTGACATCTAGTTCAAAAATAAATTTAAATTTACTCTCGTGCATTTCTTTTGATTGTTTCTTCAGTATAACTTAGCAAAAATCTTCTATAATATATTGAAAATGGATTTCAACTTGCACACCAATATTCAGCTTTTATGAGTGTCCTGCTGGCATTGGAGGAGGAGCCATGAAATGGAGTTTTAATAATCATTTGATCACTCATTTATAGCAGTTGCTTAAATGTCTGTATTGATAAGGTGTTTGACTTAAGAAGCAAGTTACCAGATTCCTAGCAGTTCCAAAATTGAAGCAAAGTACTTTACAGCTACTGTGTTGTTATATACTTAATTTCACTTTATTAACTAGTTAGTTTACTAAACTCAACTTAGAATTTTACCATTTCATTCAACATAGTTTGCATTTTTCCAAAGTGTTTTCTAGCAATTGTTTATTTTTAAATCTCAGCTTCTGTAGTCTGATTATGAAAAAATGACAACTGCATTGCTTAAACCTTTCCAAAATAAACTCGAAGTAGAAGATCACCACATGATTTTGGTGACTCTGTATAAAAACCTGACCACTTTTTGTCCCTTCTATGTTTGGACATTAAGCCCATTTCTATAATTTGAACTACACAGAAAAAAATACAGAGGGCACTCTTATTATAAGGCTAGGAGAGAAAGAAATGTGAAGTGCTGAGCAAAAAGTCTTAAACCTCTCAAAAACATTTGGTACCAAGACCCATCAACCCTACTGAATGAATGTATTTTCAGCAAGACTTAATTGTTATCCAAAAATGTTCGTGGCCCATCCATAGAACAGCAAGGACATCTCCTAGAAATCTGTCATCAGCAATCTGTGATCATGCATGACTTGAGGTGGAGTATGTGTGTGATTGAGGATTGCTTAAGGTGGAGGTTGTCAGTAGAATTCTGTTATTCATGTGGCCTATGTGAGTAGCTCAGAGCCTTATAGAAAGAGTGTACCACCTTGTGTTCCTGTTTTTTCTAAAACAACAACAAAAAGAAGTTAGAGCTTCTGTTAACTTAGAACTTGAATGAAGCTGTTGTAGTCTATTGGCTTAAATTGTCCTTTGAAACCCAGAGCAGTTTTGTTGAGCATGCATTAGTTGATAAAATGTTTAGAATAGGGAGAAAAAAAGCACTTGTACTGAAGGGAAACCATCAACTATTCAAATAAAATAGTCAAGGTGGATCTGCGATACTTGGTTATTGATCAGGAACTTCTGAAATTTTAGAACAGGAGAATCCCTCTGAAGAAATGTTGTTTTAACAACTTGGAGGTTACCAGAAGCTCTGAAAGACAGTTCAGAATATATTTTCTGATGTCCAGAAATCTGCAAGTGTCAATTTTGTATTTTAACTCCTTCCTTTTACCTGACTATCAGGGAAGCGTGGTTGAGGCTGACCTGACATGTCATGATGTCGACTTGCTAGGTGGGGTTCGCAGGGGACATTAACCTTGGAGTTATAGGTAAGAAAACTTTCTTTCTCATTTCCTTCAGTAAGTGAAAGGGTTGGTGTGGGAGGAGGGAGGATGTGAGCTCCACAGACCTGAGCACTGGAATAGCTTTCAAAATCTGCCATTACCATGGAGAGATTGCAGGTATGGAAGGTAAAGGTTGAGGTTAAATTTGTCCATGTTCAAAGGAGACATGGTATAGGTTCTTGAAATTAATTTGAAAATAAAGATGACTTGAACTTCAGAAGAAAGGTGGATGCTTTTTTAGGAGTGCTGGAAGCATAAAACATTTTGAACATTAAATTCTTCCTCTCTAATTGAATCCAGGTATGGATTGGATTTCTTTCCCCACATGTGGAAAAGCAAAGAATTTGCAGCACACTCTTCAAAGCTTAAGAATGCTGTTAAGAAAAGTGTCCAAGTAGATCTCTGGAAAATAATAAAAATTTGCCTTGGAAATAACAAAACTGGCATATCATGAGTTTGAATCTTTTATGTATTGAACATGATAATGCTTAGAAGGCACTAATCAAGAGAGAATGGCTTTTGTACCAAGGGACAGTTGTAGGTTATAAAATCCCACTGAATTTTAATAATCATCTCTTTGTGGAGGGCATATGTTGATTCTAGACAAACAAATAGCAAAAGCTGAAGAACAGGTTTGCAAATCAAATACTTGGACATGTTAAATTCTTCATGGCACCTGCTCATCTTGCACCTTTCCTCAGCCAGCAGACTTGTCTTTTCCTGCTTGTTCATGCAGTACTTGGAAAGGAGCAGAGGAGTTGGAAAAGCTTACTAGGCTAGAGGAGCATTCCAGGTGCAGTCATTGTTTACCGTGGGACTGAATAGCATGCCAGTTCTGACACCAACTGCAGAAGAAATGTGCCTGGTGAGTACAGGTATTTTGTAAGGAATTTTCAGAAATGAAGTATTTGTTTCATTCCAGATAAACCTTGGCATACTGCGACTTGAGAACAGTTGTGATCACACAAAATCATCAATGTTGTTTCACTTGAAAGATTATATACAGAAAAAAGAAGATCTCTTAATTCTGGATTTTCCAATCTGCATGTCCCATGGAGCTGCTGATAGTGAGTGTAGTAGGATGTGTTGCACATGCAAAGGTGGCCTGTCTCTGGGAAAGGAAGCAGATGGCAAGGTCCTTACAGGAAAAAAGGCAACTGAATGGATTGGCTTTTGCACATGTGGAATTTGGAGATAGCTGAAAATAATGGGAATGGGACATGCTCCTTTCATAAAACACCAGTCTCTTCTATCATGAAGTTCATCAGTTTAAAACACAATGTCAGTATGTATTTATGTCATCATAAGCTGCCAAATTGCATTAAAGGCAAAAAAAAAAAAAGGGAAAAAAGAATGAAAAGCAGACCAAATTCCAGTTCTGCCCTCCTTGCTTCAGACACAAGCTTCACTTTCTTCCATCTTTAGCACCAGTGAGCATACAGTCTTCTCATTGGATTCTCCTGTTGAACTTCCTGCAGATTGTGTAAGTGTAGGATACACGGTTTTTTCTGTTTTTAAATCTTCACAGCAACCTGTGACAGGTGATTTTATTTACATTTTGATTTTGAGAAATAAGCATCCATTGTATCAGCTCCTGGTCACATGACATTATTCTTTCTGACATACCTTCAGACAGGTCAGATTTGATGTGCAGAAGGTGCATACCCAGCTGGAATTTCAGAGGAGATGTGGTATAAGCATTAATTTCATGATAGGAGAGGATTCTAATTCTGGAGAGCATTCAGCTCTCAGCAATGGATGCTGCTTTCTGTTCTGGAATTCCCTGCTGTGCTGCTTTAACAACTGCAGGAAAAGAGAAGTGAAACGATGCATGGGCTAAAAGTCCTGTGATTAAAAATAGTTCTAATTCTTAAAAAAAGCCAAAACCAATCCAACAACCTTTACAAAAAACCCAAAGTCCCAAACAAAGAAGGACAGCATGGCTGTGCTCTCAGCACCCTGCGGACTGGGCACCTTTTCCATCTCTCCCTAGGAAGGGCAGAGGAGTTGCAGTAGTGTCCTTGCAGGTAGGTGGTAGCTGGGCACATTTGGGAAACACCCCACAAATGCAGCAGTTCAGGAACAGCTGGATCATTTTTCAGTAAACATGAGTTACTGGCAGGGATGGCTCTATCTCACATCAGGTCTCTGGGGCCTCTTACCAGAGTTACCTGGGTGATACTCCAGGAAGAGGAAAATAACTGAATTCTTTTTGCTTTCTGTTTTTGCTGATATGGCCACTTTTCAGGTATTTTATAAATCTGTTCATGATGCAGTGGGTGTTCTCTTCCCACCTTGGAAGTGTCCTTGATGCAGTATCAGGAAGGTCGGAGTTGAAAGGGCTGTGGTGAGGGGTTCATAGAACTCTTCTGGGAATCCAGAGATCTTGTACAGTGCTAAAAATTAGGCCAGGAGAATATTAGCACACTAACATTCTGCAAGCCAAGCTCAACAGGGTCAAAAACTGGAGGAGTGTAGATCATAAAAAGGTCCTTTAATAGCCAGATAGCTGAGCAGTAGCTCATAAATAAGGACAGTCATGCTTATCCCATTGTGCTTACTCCAGAAATTTGAGCAGCCACCTTTATTCTCCCATTTCCAAACAGTTCTGGATTCAATTTAAAATTTTTGGTGAACACAGCTTTAAAGATGACTCCTACCCATAACCATTTCTGTCAAATTTGTTTTTCTGTCCCACCAATTTTCTTTCAGCTATTATTTAGGGGTTCACTACAAAAACCCTGTTAATGAGTATCTAGTCAGTCTGTATGCCAGGCATGTTATTTTTGATTTCTCTAGCTTTGATTTTCAAACTGCTGTACATTTGCAGGGTGCTAATACATTGCATTACACCTAGTAAGCAGTCTTTAGGTGTTTTGATAGAGCACTGCTGAGCTGAACACACAGGTCAGAGGCAAAATTCAGTTTCAGGTTGAAGAGTGAGTCTGTAACAGTTCTGGTGAACTTGCCAGCAGGATTTCTCAGCTATTCACTACAAAAACCCTGTTAATGAGTATCTAGTCAGTCTTTATGCCAGGCATGTTATTTTTGATTTCTCTAGCTTTGATTTTCAAACTGCTGTACATTTGCAGGGTGCTAATACATTGCATTACACCTAGTAAGCAGTCTTTAGGCGTTTTGATAGAGCACTGCTGAGCTGAACACATAGGTCAGAGGCAAAATTCAGTTTCAGGTTGAAGAATGAGTCTGTAGCAGTTCTCCTGATGAACTTGCCAGCAGGATTTCTCAGCTGCTTCTCATTCAGATCCTAAGTGGTACTTGACCATCCAGCAGTTCTTGCTACTCTCATGCTGTACAGACCAGTGATTATGAGTAGAGACATTGAATTGAAGGTTCCTGAGAAATGAGGATGCTTAAACCCTTCATGGTAGCATTGTAGCTTCTCAGTTCTGCTCTTCCTTTCCTCTTGTGTTGTTGGTTGGATGTTCAGCTCTGCTTGTCTCCTTATGTAGAGAGAAGGAGGAGAAAAGCATTTCCTGCAATCTCTTGGATGTGTTGAGCCAACAAGCTGCTGGTGCAGATGCAAAGCTATGCTGCAAGGTTTGAGATTTTTTTGAGTGTACCTTGCTGTTTCTCAAATTATTTTTTGATGTGGTCTGTAGGGGTAAAAATACTGCAGGATTCTTCAAATTTCTTTGATACTATTCCTTACCTACATGAAATATGAGAACTTGAGTTACTAATTTTGTCAGCATCTAGATGATAGATGTAGCAGAGAAATGTAGGCATGTACTTAGGAGCTAATTTGCTCCTAAAATCATTTAATGCAAAAAAACATTCATCATGTTTGTGAAGCATTAGAACATATATTTTCTGTAGTGTTCTGGTAAACATGAAATCTTCTCTATGTTTCTTCCATGGCAGTTCATAGAAAATAAATGTGCTTTTTTCCCTCTCCTTTTTTACTTCACTGACTCTTGGTTGTAAAGTTTTAGCCTTTTCTCTCATGTCAAGTGGATGTTTCTTTTATGTGCCTTAGGAGTGTGGGTTCAGAAGGGTTTGCAGTGTAGCATGTAAAATCTAAAGGTCACAAATTAAATCTATTTCACTGAGCCAGAGTGAGATCTGTGCAGTGAAGGCTGCACCTTCCCCATGGTGGGAGGCTGTGTGGCCAGAGAGGTGTCTTCACCAATGTAGGTCATCTTTTTTCTTCCCTTGGAAGTAGCTTGAAAAATCCTTCTAGCAGCTAGGCTGAGGTTTAAAATAGAAGTAGCTAAAGAACATCAAATGTGTGGCTGTATCAGTAGAAGTTGCTGAAATGAGATCCAGATGTGCAAGTATTTGAGTAGCTCTTAGTGATTTTCCTGGTATGAGATGTGAGCAGTGTGGGATGGGCAGAGTGTTTGTTTATACATATGGAAGAGCACTAATGTGGTTGCTCAGCTCTTAATTGCTGTGATTAGCTCCACCCCTTCTTTGGCTGAGGGATATGTAGCAATGGAAATTTGCATTTCAGGAATACATGAAAAGCAGTGCTCTTCTGTTACAGCAAAGTCTAGACTCTAGCATAAAGCTTTAGAGTCCAATTTTGTGGTGGGAATAATCATCCTTCTTCTCAGAGGCAACACTTGGAATGTTTTTTTTTCCTTTAACTTTAGTAATTTTCACTTATTTGAGCTTTTTCTACTGATTCTGTGTTTCTAATTATACAAAGGCCATATATTCGAGTTCTTGGGATTCAGGTGTGATATCCTGACTTTCCATGAAGATTATTTCTGCAGGGTGGCAATAATATTTTGGCATTCTGAAGAAAATTGGTCTATTTTTTGGTAGACTTGTCTTGTTTGAGCTATCACGTGCAAATGAAAGCATGTGTCTGCAGATAGGATCTTCCTACTGAGATAGGCTATTTTCAGTCTTGCTTTTATGTGAACAAAGGGTGGAAGTGAATTAGCTCAGAAAGTTTTCTACTCGATGTTTCTACAGAATGAGTGACCTTGGGAAAAAGAGGGGACATCAGACATTTAGGAAAGCAGTTGTATATTAGACCAGTAGAGGCAGTCTTCTTCACTAATGCATGAAATCCAAATCCAAAGGAGCAACATGCTTGTAGGCTGGGTAACCAGGAGAGGAGGAGAAGTACTAACACTAAATGATATCTGTGCTGTCTTCTGTGGCTCTTTGTTTGAGCTTCTACAAGCTTGAAGTGCAAAGAAGTTGTGTGTTTTGCATCTTTTTAACCATTGTGTATTTCTTACAAAGCCTCTAGTAATAATTAATGCAGGACAGACCACAAGGATGTTTGGTGTAACTTTTTTTTTTTTAATTTAAAAATGCATGTTTTTCAGATACAGAGCTGGATCTTGCCATAGAGACTGAACTTTGCTCTTGATGTAACAGAAACATGGGGTACATAATTCACATTGATTCTCTATTGTCAGGTACTGTGTTGGTAGGTGAAAATTAGATAATGATGCCTGAATTGATTAATCCCCTAGGCATGGAGGAACTGCAGTGTATAAATATGTAAGAGAACTTCCAGGAGGAAGCGTGGGATTGGCAGGGCCAGGTGGATCTCAAGCAAAGACAGACTCCTTTTTGATGCACAGAGCCTCTGCTTGTGTTAGCAAAAAATTCTTCTCTGTTCCAAACTGAGACCACAAAACCTTTAGTGAGAAAAAACCCCACAATCAGACTTTTAATACCAAGAGCCTGAGAATGATTGCAGTTACTTACAGAGATAGGATTGCTTGATGAAAATTGAGATGTGTGATTAGATGTTCATTTGCTTGTTACACTCATGGTTCAGTCCTGTCATTGAAACAGTTCAGCCAGTGCAGGTGTTTTAATGCTGCCTGTAAGAAGATGGCTGCTGGCAGAATGAAAGGGGGAGAAAAAGCCTATGGCTGTGTAAATGCACACTTTTTATTTCTCTATTAGTTGTCTAAATAAGCTTTTTTAGAAACTATAGTTATTAACAGCAATCAGAAATCAGGCTGTGAAGAAGTTAAAACTCATTTTTATATCTTACTACACAAGTGCCTGGACTCCTTAATCTACTAATAATGTTTTAGCTTCCATTCTCATCTCATAATCCCTGAAGAACATTCATGATGCCATATGAATTGAGTTGTTATCTCTCCTTGTTTGTGTGGAGAAGTTTGTTTGCTGGCTTTCCTGAAAGGATTTCAGGACTTCATTTATACCATGTGGTATTCTAGCCTCTGCACACACACTAGGATGCTAAAGCTGTGGCACAGTATGAAATCAGCTGGAGCCTGGATATATTTTAAATTTACAAAAATCTAGCAAAATTGCTATTTCCCTGTAGGTGGCTCTTGGCCTGTGCAGTGCTCTGGGTTGTAGCCTGCAGGGCAGTGCTGCTCTTCACTGCCTGATGCAGCTGCTGGCTGATGTCTGGCAGAAGAGGGAACATGTGGAAAGGGATTATTAGAGCACAAGCATCAGTCACATCCTGGATTCTTGGGCTGGGTACCATGCACTTAAACTTGTTAGAATAATACCTGGAATAATCAAGATATGCTCCACTACTTAAATCAAGTTTATTTTTAGCCCAGTGGTTTTTGAATTGAAACTGCTCAGGCAAAACTTGCTTTTGAAGTATTTATAATTGCTTCTTACAGTGTTGCACACAAATTTCAGTTTAATCTTGACTGAAGGAATTTGGGCATACCAGTAGATGGCTTCTCAGTGCCCCTTTGCAACCTTACACTGGGGGGAAAATTTAAAAAAAACCCCAAGAAATAACTGGCAAGTAGAGAAGTTGGACAGAAGATTATATGACTCCCTAGTTTCTTTTCAATATTTATTGTTACATTTTGTGAATATTTTTCCTTTTCTAGGTGTTTTCTACATCTTCTGGACATAGGCTTTGTCCCTTTCAGTCTCTTATGGTTCATCATGCACCAGTAGTCAGCATGGTCAGAAGGCTTGACTTATATTTACCTTACAGTTTAGAACTCCTTGCAAACATTTAAGAAGGAAAAAAGAAAACCCCAACATATTTCACATCTTCCTGGTTTTCATTATTTTAAATTGAAGTGATTAGGAAGCTGAGTTTTAATGAGTTTTTAGTAGAGGTGAGATTGAGAAGTGTTTGTGTAACTGCTCATTATATTTGTCTGAAAACATCTTTTTGGGTGTCACCTTACTCAGTGCCTTCTCAGGTACCTGCTGCTTTGCAAGGCTCAAGTGGAATATTTGTGAGACTGACAAGAGAGAGGCAGAGGAGGATAAAAGTCAATGGTGTTCTCAGGAGTGGAGCTCACTGCCTGCTTTTTTCACGTGTGATTTGGGTTGGGAGAAGAGCAGAACCAAACATTTCTGGTGTTTTGTCCATTGATTCCTGGTGAAAAGCAGCACAGAGCTGCACAAGCTGGCTGAAGGAGGACAGCCCTTGGGAGCTGGAGAGAGGTAAGGCTTTGGTGCACCTTTTCCTTGCTCAACCCTTGCTGTCTTTGTGCTTGACCTATGTCTGCAGCCTCTCTCTCTTTGGTCACAAAGGTGTCAGGCCCCATACACCTGCATCCTTTCCAGTTTCTCTTAGGGAAGTTCCTGGTCTTGCCAAAGTCCAAACAAAAAGTGTAGCTTTGCAGCTTTTCAGCATTTATATATTTTGCCATGGTCTGTATTTCTACTTCATGTGTGACCCTTTCCCTTTGGGCTTGGACCTTTTCCCCTTTTTATTGTGGCTCTTCAAGGCTTGGTCTTCCAGCCTCCTGCCTGGTTTACATTTAAAAGAAATAAAATATTTTCAGTCCTTTTGTTCATTCTGGTAGGTTTTGTCCATGAATAGAACCTCCTGACATCACTCAGAGTGCAGGGTAATGTGTGGCAGTAGTAGGTGATACTTGTTAATGGTGTTGTTAGAGGTGATTCTGCTTCCCTGACTGAAACCTTCCCATTCCAGTGAGGTGTTCCCACCTCTGTAGTGCTGCCTGCCTGGCACTGCTGAGTGGGCAGAGTTTCCATCTACCAGAGGTAACAGGAAGGATAAGATCAAGCCTTTTTTGGCTTTGTGGTTTTGCTCTGTTGTCTGAGCCCTTTCTGATACAAATTGCATATCTTATGACCTAGGAGTTTTAGGTGCAGAAGTCAGCTTGGTTTGAGTGAGCTTTAGAGCTTTATATCCACACACTGGTGGCAGGACCCCATCAACCTTCACAGCTTCTTGGAACAGTTATTTGTTGGTTGCATTCATTTGAGGGGAGTGATTTTCCTCTGGGTTCTTTGATCTCTGGTCTCTGGCCTGGGCTGGATCATCAGCCTGGCTTAGTTTATGCCTCTTGATCTCTCCAGGCTTCATTTATTTCTTAGAGAAGTAGAATGTTGTGATCACAGTTCTTGAATCTTAAAATCTCTAGTTTCTCTGGAATTGGCTGTTTGGTATTCATGGCTTTTGGCTGTTAGTGTTAGGAAATGCTCTTGGGGAGTGTGGTTGTGCACTGCCTCCTGCAGTAGCACCTTGCTGGTGACACCTTGACAGGTATCATCTCTTACACTTGCATAAGCAACACAAAATCTTGCAGCCTGCTTATTCCTTATTCACATGAGCACATCAGAGTCATTTAGAACTTCAAATCCTTGCCATTTCTTAAAAACAGAGTAAACAAACACCAGTTAATGTCACTGCTGCACAACGTTATGAATTGCCTGAGCAGATGTTAGTGAAATGACTGTTGCATTTTATTTCATCTGCAGGATGATCAGGTTGATCCATCTCTGAACAGTTTCTCTCTCCTTAATGGCTGGTTTGCAAAAGATGATGATCTGTTCCACAATAGCTGGGATTTCTTTTTGTTCTGCATGCTTAAGAGAAGCATCTAAAAAACAGCAGGAGGAACAGAGTTAGAAAAGAAGAAAGCCTTACTGCTAAAGTCAAGAAATGTGGATATTCATTACTTACCATGGACCAAACCTCCAAAGTGGTATTGAGAAAATGAAGTGTAAAAGTAGCTGAAAAGAGCTCTGGCAGTATGTCACATTTCCTTTAGTGAGCTGAAGCTCAGGTGAACATCACCTGCATTCTTGTTTCCAGATTCAGTCCTAAATTTTAGCTTCCAGATAATTGATGCAAAGAGTTGTAGCTTATTTAAAAAAAAAACCCAGTAAGGATCTTTCCAAGTCTACCTCAGTAACTTAGGATAGTTGGTGGCATGTGAAATAGGTGACTTGGCTTCACTTACCTTTGGCTTTATAGAGAGGCAGGAGGGTGGTGTGACACCTGCTCATGCTCACTGGAGTTTTGTAAACAGTGTGTGTGAGAGTTGATTAACTATTTGCATATTGATATTACTACCTAGCACTCAGATTATTCACCACGTTAATGAAGAGCCTTTCCTGAGACTGTGGATTCTATTTTATTCATGTTTGCTGCTTTTGTATCTGCTGAGTCCCTCTTTTCCATGGGGTAGGATTGCAGGATCTGTGCTCTTTGTTTTAATAACTTTCTCCTCTTTGAAATGCCATTATTTCTGGTCTGTTTTTAGATGATGAAGGATAGACACTGTGATGGGCACTAAAGCATGGACTTGAAGTGTGCACTCTGGTGGCAGGTACTCCTATCTGATCCCTGTGGTCTGATGTGTCTGAGGAGGGCTTAGGTGCTGTGTGTCTTAGCTGTGGCTTTCTCCATTTATTAATTTCAGTGTTGATTGAAATGTTTGTCTTTATTTATAGCATATCCAACAGCTGTGTTGCAACAGAGAAGGTAAGTTTAGAGCTTGGGGCAGGGGGCAGAGGGGTTGGCAACCCAGCTCTAGGTAGTTAATCTGTTTTGGTTTTTTTTCTAATACAATCCTTGAAGTTTATAGACAGATGTTGGATTTATGGATATCAGACAGCTGCTAAAGCCATTACAAAATGGCAAGGAACAGGGCATTTATTATATATTACATAGGGAGGAGAAGAGACTAATTTGAGAATTAGATTTTTAATCATTCTTGCAGTATTTATTTGTCCTTTAAGATACAGACACAGATGCAAATTCATCAGTCTGTTCAGTGAGATATTTTTCTATTCATTTTCCTGACTGAGAATTATTGTTAGTGTCACACTTGTTGCTAGAAGCTATTGAGCTGGTCATGCTCATTTTTCTCTGCTGAGCTCAGTGAGTTTTACTCTCCACTCTGTGATGGAGGATTCCTGGTTGCTGTTAGCTGTGTTTTAAAGACAAGAATTCCTGGGTTTAGTCAAGTTTAGGACCTGCTTGTTCTAAATCCTAATAAAAGCATTAGCTAATATAAATCTCAATTCTCTGATGTGGACTATAAGGGACTTGCCTGTCAATACATCTGAATTACTTTGTTTTGACAGGTAATTAGATCTGGATCTCTTCCTTAGCTAACAAAGCAAACAATCTCAGATATGCTTTGCTAGGCAGGATCATGTGTAGACAGCAAGGTTTTATTATCTGTGAGGAAAAATGCATTGTAAGAACATGAAATCTAGATGACCTTGAATGAAAACAAAGAAATAAAATTTTATGAGATACAGTATATTAATGCCCCAACTTGGATGTAGGAATTCCTGAGCAGTAATTTTGTTTTAAGTGCCATTAAAGCTCTGTGTACAATCTGTACTTCTGCAGGAAATGTGAAATATCCCAGGGACTGGCTGGCTACCTGAAGGACCCCAGTGTCTGCCTTTCATGGCAAGTGACCTGAGCATTGATGTGCCCATGGTAGCAGTTCAGGTGGGTGTGTTACCTGTATTTGCAGACTTTTCTTGTTCTCTGCATTGTACCACAAACTGCACGTGTCCTGTACAATCCATTTGGCCCTCTTGTAATGTCTGGTTTTCCTAATAAACATCTTTTGAAGTCTCTGCTTTGTGGCTGATTTCCAAGGGTCCAAGTTCCCATGTGTTAGGTCCATCCTTCTGATGTATTGTTTGGATCATGCAGGGAGGAGAAGAGAAACTCATAACTGCTTCCTTTGAATAAAAACCTTATTTGAAGCTGCTGTGTCCACACAAGACCTTTGCTAGTAGTTTCTCTATTTTGAGTATTTTCTTGGAGTGTTCTGAGGCTTAAGATCAGACAGAAAAACATTGTAAGCAAAATCAAAGAAATTTCTTAAGAAAAATTAATTCTGAATGTTGGTCTGGGAGATGACAGTGGAACAAATGGGAAATTGTGATCTTGGGCTCTTGTTCCTGAGAAGTGCCAAGTCCTGTGGGGAAACTTCAGCCACATGAAGGTGAACAACCTTGTGTTTACATGAATACCAAGAGTTTGGCTTCATCCTGGCTAGTTTTTATTTCAGAGGAGGACTGAGAAGAGAGCAGAATGCACCCAATGGTGTGTTTTCAATATTCCTCCATTTGGTTCTTTCTGGGGAGGATGGAGGGTAGCCTGTGTGCCCATGCAGATCTGGTTTCAAGAGGTGGAAATATGCATGCATGTGTGTATTGACTTCAAAATCCTTTTTTTTCTGTAGCAGTCTTCTGGCATGTCGTGGAGATCAGTTTGGCTTTGTTTTTCAGTTCAGCTGGGCAGACATTACCAGAATCCCTCAGAAAGACACTGTTTTTTCCTATGCTTAATCCTTTTTACATGCAGCATTCTACTGATCTTGCTGAATAGCAGGAATGTAGTTTCCTAACAACAGCTACTACAGAAGTGTAAATTAAGAAGCTGGCATGAGGTTATTTTGGAGACTTGGCCATGAAAACAGAATTAGAGTTAATCCTATTATAAATATGTTTGGCAACTTAAAAAAAAAAGGCAACATCCAAAACCAAACATGTTTGGCAACTTAAAATCCAAAAGTTTTGATGTTTGATTCAGCTCTAACCCTTTTCAAGCAAACAAAATCTTCTCAAATGTCTCATTTTGGCACACTGGTGTCAGTGCTGTGTGCAGTCCCTGAGCACGGGCCCTGGTGTGGCCTGCTGGCAGGCAGCTTGCTCCCTGGGAACAGGGTGGTGTGATGTTGCACTCAGTCAAAATTCAGTGAATGTCTCCTGTTATGGAAAAAGTTTATCCTGTGAATAACCAAGCAAATCACTTTCATGGGGAGAGAAGAGACACTTTTCAACTAGGACTGGCCTGAAGGAATCTTTGGCTGCAGATGAGGAGCCATCCCCAGCCCTGCAAGTCACCAGAACAGGAATAAACTTGCTTTGTGTTTGTGTTTGATTGTGTGAATTCCTGCTTTTTCCAAAGGCACCTGTGAATTGGAAATGAATCTTGTGTGTAAGTTGTATTGTGTGAGACCCCACCTGCAGTGTATCCCCCTCTGCACGAGGGGGACAAGGAGCTGCTGGACAGAGTCTGGAGGAGGTCACGGAGATGCTCTGGGGGCTGGAGCCTCTGTTCTGGAGCCAGGCTGGGAGAGCTGGGGGTGTTCACCTGGACAAGGTTTGGGGGAGACCTTCCAGTGCCTAAAGGGGCTCCAGGAGAGCTAGAACAGAGTTACATTCTCAGCATTTTACTTTTTTTTTTTTCCCCCCAACAATTTAACTTGATCAGTCATAGACCAAATTCTTCATGGTGTGCAGTTCTTGCGTTTTAAAAATTAACAAGTAGCTCTTTACAGGTGATTTTATTGCCACCTGCTGGAGTTCAAATTAAAAGTCAGATTTTAAAATATATTTTGGCTATCTGAAATGCCCTTGGATGAGGTACATTAGAGATGTACAAAGAAATGCAGGCTGACCTGTCCCTTACCAAAGCACTCAGTAACTCATTATTTTGTTTGTAAACATCAACTGAGAAAACAACTGAAGGCCAATATTTGAATTTTATCTTTATAAGGAAATCAGGAAAATTTGGCAGTAGACAGAATTGGACAATAGTGTGCAAATGTTGGTGCTGTCAGCTGAGGTGGCAGATGTAGCCTGGGCTGCAGCACTGGGAATGGGGACATCACAGAGACAGGACAGTGCTGGGACACTGTGACCTCCAGCTCCAGAAGCAAATGTTTCCAGGCAACTGCAGCAGCCTTGGTGATAATTTTGGGGATTTTTGCATTCCTGGACCTGCCCTTCATCCAAGATGGGATTTGGAATGGAGTTGGACACCTCTGCAGTATAAATTTGTTACTAATCCTTTCTCCTGAGCTCTGCTGCTCTGAACTGCCCATGTCAGACTGCAGGAGCCAGCACTGCTGGCAGCCTGGGCCACTGGGAGTTGGTTATGTCAGTGCTGATGATTTTTGGGTGGCTATGGAGGATGTGCCTGGAAAGCACACTCTAGCCAGGGTACTACAAATTGGCTTCTTGTCCCATTGTGACCTGGGGGTGTACCAGGAAAATGAGTGCAAAGTTTCCTTTGGCATGGGTGGCTTGGAGGAGCCTGACCCACCTGCAATTGATGTAAATATGTTAAACTAAAGGACAGCAGGTGACAATGGTTATTTTTGTGTTGATAATGTCATGAACGGTCAGTTGTGCTCTAATTTAAATATGTGCCCTGTGATCACTCCCAGTGCTCCAAATATTTCTGCTTGGTTTCTGCCTTGGACTTCACTGTTTCTGCTTCTCATTTCTGATGTTTTTTTTCCTGTATTTTCTCTCTATGCAGCTTATTTTTGCTTTATGATTAAATGGGTTTCTTATGGAGTCTTGCAAAACATGAAAAGTAATAAAATCTCTTTGGTCATGACCTCCCCAGAGCTTTACACAGCTCAGGTTTTAGCAGTAGTTACCAGAGACCTCTCTCCCCTCCCTCAGGGGTTGTGTGCCTCCAGAGATGGGCTGGGTTGGGCGAGGAGGGAGCACAGAGGAGGCCACAGAGATGCTCTGAGGGCTGCAGCTCCTGTGCTGTGGAGGTGGGCTGGAAGAGCTGGGGCTGTGCCTGGAGGAGACTCCAGGGAGACCTCAGAGCCCTTTGCAGTGCCTTAAGGGGCTCCAGGAGAGCCGAGAGGGACTTTGGACAAGGATCTGGAGGGACAAGGGGGAATGGCTTCCCTCTGCCGGAGGGCAGGGTTAGATGGGATATTGGAGGGAAAACTTTCTCTGTGAGGGTGGGCAGGCCCTGGCACAGGGTGCCCAGGGCAGCTGTGGCTGCCCCTGGATCCCTGGAAGTGTCCAAGGCCAGGCTGGACAGGGGTTGGAGCAACCTGGGATAGTGGAAGGTGTCCCTGCCCATGGAAGAAGGTGGAAAGAGATGATCTTTAAGGTCCTTTCAACCCAATCTGTTATGTGATTGCATGTGGTACAGGAGCTCTGCATCAGGAAGGCTTTTGGACATCTGGAGTGTGTTGTGCATTTTTAGGACAAGTACATAAAGCAGCAAAACCAAGGCCATGGCATCCTGGGGCACATGCTGTGATGCAGGGTGGGAGCATGAACCACGTCTGCTTTCCAGGGCTTGCCCTGCCTTGGCACACAGCCAACCCTTCCTCCATGGCCTCCCCTTCCTGGAAAAGAGGAGTTGGAGCTGGGTGTCACTGACCCAGCTCAGGTGTGGTCCTGAACTCCCATCATCCCCTCTGTGAACCACCCACATGCCCGTGTCAGCTCTTCCACCTGAGTATTGTCTGCTCTGATGTTCTGCTCATTATCTGTCTGCCAGGCTGCTGTCATTGCCTCCCACAGCCGAGTTCTGTCACTGAGCTCCCTCCTACATCAAACCTTTCACAGCCTTCAAGGGAGGTCTTCACACTGAAATTCTGAGAAATCTGTGCCCTGGCTGCCTCGGCTGGGAACCTCCAGCTCTGCCTGCCTTTTGCTTTGGGAACCTCCAGTCTGGAGATTTCCTGGCTCCTTGCACCCCTGTGCAAACTGGAGCCACCTCCTGTGGGGCAGCAAGTGTCTGATCAGATTTGAGATCCTGAGGCCACTTGAGTGCATTAAAATGCTTGGGGATTCATGATTTAAGCATGCAATTGCCCTCATCTTCCTCATGCAGTGTGGGAATGGTTTCATGCAGCCCGTGTACCTGTGCTGGTGCTGTGGGGTTTGGCATGCAGGGGAGCTGCATCCCAGCCCCTCATCCCGGGCTCACAGCTGGGCTCCCTTGAGAGCAGCCCTGCAGAGACCCACTCCAGCCCCAGACTAAATTCCTGCGGGGGCCAGTGCTCTGGTTTTTCTCTTTATTAATTGCTTATTAGCAGAAATAAGTGTTTTCCCAGTGGGTGGAAAGTATGGCCTCTGGCTGCAGCAGGCAGAGTGGCTGCTGTGGGATCTGCCCAGACAGAGATGGAGATATTCATATGTAGATTTGATGTGCTGAAGGCAGGGAGGCCCCTGTTCCAGGCAAAGCCCAGCTGGAGGCTGTGCCTGGAGAACTGCCCAAGCCAGGCCCTGCAGGCAAGGACCTCCTCTCCCAGTGTGCTCCCTTTCAGCTGTGCTGCAGTTTTTGTGACTCACTGGGCTGGATGCTCTGGATGTCCTTTTATTTGTAGAAGCATGGGACATACTGTGCTCCTACAGGATAAACACAGGACCCAACTATCGCCTCCTGAGCAGGGATATCCCTGCAGCTGCTGGTCCAAATGCAGCCAGTGATGACCCTGGCAGACCTCTTCTTTCAGACCAGCTTTCCTCAGAAGCTGGGCTGGGACAGCTGCTCCCACCTGCAGGCTTTTGGAGGACTCTTTCCCTCTCCTGGTGGAGGTGTATCCCTTTGCACATGGCTGTGGGAGGGCTTGGCACTGCAGGAATGGCCCTGGACTGCTGGTTCTTCCTGAGCAGAGGGGTCCTGGCAGGAGGGAATCACTGATGGGATAATGGGAGCAGTGACAATGCTCATTCTGGGGAGGTGGACATGCTGTGACCTGAACACACAACTCCAGTGCATGGCTGGAGGCAGGACATGACTGTCTTCTACAGCCAGGCTGAGAGCTGCTGAAGGGAACTGAGTGGGAAGGTTTTTCACCTGGGATCTGATTGCTTGGCACATTCAGAAACCTCTGATAGGACAAGAGGTACACCCAAGATCTGTGTGTCCCCTCAGAGATGTTTCACTGAGGCATGGCCTCAGCACCTCCCAGGTGTAAGAGCACAGGACCCCTGCTCCTGCTCTCCTGGCTCTCCAGGGCAGAGGAGCTCCAGCCCTGAGCTGCTCTAGACCTTTTGGTCACAGGCTTGGAGGAAGTCACACTCCTGCTTTGGGAGGCTTGTGTGAGACAGAGCCTTGTCCTGGTGGTCCCATTCCTGACGAGTGCCTCAGGCAGCAGCAGCTGGGGTTGCTGCTGCTTTCCCAGGCATTCCCACTAAACACTTCTGTGGGGAGGAGAGGAATGGAGCAGGCTGGACACAACAGCCTGAGTCCCATGCTTGTTATCTCTGTGAGAACTGCAGGACTCTTGCAGCCTTCACACGTCACAGGTGTCGTCCTGCTGTGACAAATACCATGTACCCAAGACAGTGGGACTAGAGAAATCCAATCTTGGCTGGTTGGAAATCTTCCCTGACTGCTCCGAGTGAGGGGAATGACTTTACAAACTCCCTAGGACACCTGGACAGACAAACCTCTGCAGCCTGCAGCTCCTGGCACTGTGCAGGGTGCTGCTGTGAGGAGCCATCAGGAAATCACCTAAGGTCAGCCTGCACTAGCTAGACCAGTGACTAGAGCCCTGTCCTGGAGGGGGCATGAGCCCTGTCCTGGAGGCTGGGGACAGGACACCACTGGCCATCTGTGTCCTTGTGGCTGTCAGGACCTGCAACACTTCCTGCAAGAGTCCCTGGGTGCTCCCAGCTTGTGGCAATCACTAACCCACTGTTCAAGTGCTCCAAGCTTGTGGAATTCAGCACAACAAGGCACTGCTTGGATGCAGCTTTTTGCTCTCAGTTCCTGGTTGCTGAAGTCTCATGGTAAATACATATCAGGGGTGAGACAGAGCTCAGCCTGGCTGCAGCCAGCTGGGCTGTGCTCATTGCAGGCATAACAGCCTGAAGTTTTGGTTTTTTGGTATAATTTTTTCTTACTTAAAAAAAATTTGTACAGAGAAGCTGTAAAATAAAACAGGTATTGTTCATGTTCATATTTTGTCTCATGTTTTGACTGTCCAGGTGATTTGGGGTGAAGTGAAGTCAGAACAGACGTGAGTTTGGGGGAGTTCCTGACGCAGGGTAGGATCTTAAAATATTTTATGTGTAGTCCTGACATATTCTGCTGAAATGCTGTGGTATAGCATCCTGGGAAGGGTGGTACTGCATATCAGAGAGGAGGAATTTGATGA